AATGTAATAAAACAAAATCTATTATAAAAACTATATTGGTAGATTATTATTTTATGAAATTACTAAATTTCTAAACTATATATTAATAGTTTTAAGAAAAAATGATAAAGTGAATTTGGGATAACAACAGGTGGATTTAGGTGGGCATATGACTTTTATATTTCATGTTTTACACACCAAAGTAACAGTAAAAAATCCAATACAGATCACTTTCTACTAACCTTGGTGGCAAGTGGTGATGTCTCTTTATCCAAAAGGGTAAAAAATGAAGCAACCTAGAAGAAGATCTATCTCCCTATCCTTCTTTAGTCTTTATGTATCTCCCAAAAATCAGGTTTTCGAGCCTCTAGTGGTTCATTGAATAACAAAGTAACACCTGAAAAAGAAATATTGTTCAGCATATAATTAAAAATGAAATATAAATTCATTTACATTTCTCTGTTGTGGTTGAGTCAGTCTTTCTGAAGTATATAAAAACATTTTATATTTTTGTTTGTTATTAGAATCAGCGACATAAAATGATTAATTATTTTCAAATATTAAAATAGATAACAACTAGTTGATTGGTTGAATTTGATGGTAACACAGTATAAGCAGAGTAAGATATAACAACTTGTGCGTTTTGTTGTTTTAAATTGCGTTGTTATCTATGCTCTTGAAACTGTACTTGAAAGTATAGGGTAACCAAAGCATGTGAATTGTTTAAATTTTAAAGAAAGATAAACTAATTATACACGTCCTATCCTATCAACTAGTACAAATGGATAAGAAAAGAGAGGAAGTGACCAAGACAACAACATGTCCATTTTTACCATTTATCATAAACTAAGGTGTGTTTCGAGTAATGTTTTTATAAGCAAATGCTAGTCTTGAGTAATATTTAAAAATATTATTAATGTACTTATGCAATGATTTAATACACTTTAATTTTAATAAAAATTTTATACTTCTCATTAACAACGACCCTATTTTATATTATAATCCAGAAACATAAACTATACGGCAGGGGACATTGGCACAGTGGAAAACCAACAATTGTGAATGTGATATGTAAGTAGCAGGGACTAGTTGGTTTTTGTGGCAATAAACATACTTTCCCTCTAAAAAATTAAAAAATAGGCATTGCTTGTTACTTTTGCGTCTTTTTACATTATCCTACAGGAAAGTGGTCTTCTCACCTTTGACTCAGTTTGTTTCAGCTGCAAGCTCTCTAGATAGCTCAAACAAAAGTTTTTGCTGCAAATGACGGATGATTTCAGAAAAGCCAATAGGAACAAGTCACGTAAATAATCCCTAGAGCCATTGCAACCACTAGTACGACCAAGCCACCAACTAGTGAGGAAGAAGTAGCAGCTCCAATTGCTTTAGATATTGATCTTGTTTGTTGCTCAATTAGTCATTGTGGAGCACACCAGAGCTTAGGTGTTTTGTGCTGCGAGAGTTGAGAATAATGAGAAAATTGAGATTAGGGTTTGTTGAACAAAATTTGAAAGTATTTCCTGGGTCAGGGCCAACCCATGGGTATCCCCACCCTGACCCTGTATGTTATGGGCTAAATAATTAGGGCCAAATTAAATTGTTTTAACTAATATTAAAACATGGCTTAATAAATTATTTTAGACGATACTACAACGATGGCAAGAGTAAAAAGAAACAAATCAACTGGAACATTTGGATTTAGGAGGAAGCTAAGCCCTTGAAAGACTACCCTAATAATTGTAATGCTCTATTTATGTCTCTTATTTTAGTTTCTGCAATATATGGATTAAGTCCTATTTTTCTACCTAATTTTATCAATTAATTGTTAGGATTCAAGTCCACAAAGAGAGCCCAATCCAATAGAATAGCCTCTTGAGTAAGAGATTCTGCGTTAAAGTTCCTTATTTACTAAATGTGTGCACATTTACTAACAACAGCAGAATATTTCACACCTATAAACAAAAATTTATTGAATTAGAGAAAATTCAAATTTATCCTCATTTTTAATACATTAAATTGTAAAACACAGGGAAGAGAGCATTATATTGTAAGTATATAATTGTAAAATTAGTTAGTGTTTATTCTTGTCAATTAATATAAATTTAAATTAAAAAGTTGATATTCTACATTAAAGTAAAAAGTGTAATAGTTCTCAATTAGTTTTTTAAAAGGTAGTGAAAAGAATTATATTTCCATTAAAATTACACAAACAAATGTGAAAAATCATTATTGATATTTATTCATCACGAATAATCAAGTAGTTAAAAGCTTACATAGTTAGTATATTGAAATATAAGATTATTATTGTATCGAATAAGGCACCATTCGATCATTTTTAGTAAAACAGATAACCGAACACCCCTTCGGCCTTACCTCTAGATAAGGGACACCAACATCCTTTCGGCCACACCTTTGGACGAGGGGTACCAACACCTTTTCGGTCACATCCCTGGATGAGGCAGTACTAACATTCCTTCGGCCTCTCTTTTGGATGAGAAGTACTAATACCCTTTCGGTCATATCAAAGTAAATAACTAAACCCTCACTTTAGTCCCTGAGAGAATTTGAGTCCAGCATTTTAGTTCATAAGACATTTAAAATATCACGTTAGTCCCCAACTTCCTTCTTCGTCATTTATTTTAGTCTTTGACGTCAGACCCTATTAAGAAATCGTGATAGAAGACTGAGTTGTCATGTTAAGTGCTATGTTAGAATTCCACCTGACAGAAACGACTTCATTTTTGAAAGCTGTCGTGGCACCTCTAATAGTGAAACAATGTCGTTGTAATTCAAGAACCCAACTAAATGACCTCACCCAGAATACGAATCCCACCTTCCTGACCAATTGTTGTCTTCTCTTCTTGTATTGTGGCAAGATTTGTTAATATAACCACTGCCTTATCAACCATTCTAGCTGCGGGTTCTATTAACTCTACAAGATACTTCACAGCACCGGCTTGCACGATCCGATCCTTGTTTTCATGAAATATTGACAAATTAAATAAAGCAGTGGCATCATCTTTTTCCCCCCAAGGGGTTCTATTCCCTAATAAATCAACCAATGGTCTAATTGCCCCAGACCTCCTTATTCTTATTTTGTTTTCCTCAATAACCGATAAGCTAAAAAGTGTGGCAGCTGAGTTCTTCTTGGCTTCTGGACTCCATGTCTTAAGGACATGAATCAAAGGTTCAATGCCCCCAACATTTGCAATTGCAGTTTTGTTGTCATCACTGATTGATAAGTTAAAGAGTGTTGTAACAAAATTTTCTTGGATTGTCGTATAAGTTGATTGAAGTAAATCAACTAATAAGCTAATGGCACCAAAATTTGAAATCACTATTCTGTTATCCATATTGTGCTTAGAAAGAAGCAGAGTTATGTTGTTGCATCTCTTTTAGTATCAAAAGAATTTCTCTTTAACTGTTCCACTAACTTTTGAATTTAAAATGTTTCACCCCCAAATACAACGACAAACAAGATGTTGGGCAAGGTTCTGGGTGAACTTAGGTTAAGGTTCTTCTTTGACACAAATGAGGAATTATGTGATTAAGTTAGGGCAAAAGGGGCTTGGATCACAACGACATTGTTTCACTATCAGAGGTGCCACGATAGCTTCCAAAAATGATGTTGTTTCTACCAGGTGAGATTCTGACATAGCACTTACCGTGATAACTCAGCCTTCTGTCACGATTACTTAACCGGGTCTAACGTCAGGAACTAAAATGAATGACAGAGAAGGAAGTTGGATACTAACGTGATATTTTAAATGTCTTAAGGACTAAAATGCTGAACTCAAATTCTCTCAGGGACTAAAGTGAGGGTTTAGTCCAAAATAAATTAATAAGTTAATAACTAGTAAAGAAAAGATTAATTATTCAAGCAATCAGGAGGTTAATCTAAGATTGACTCATCAAGCCCATTAGCCCAATATTATACCTATAAAAAGAAGGTAAAAAGGATAGGTAAAGTGTTGACTTTAAAATATTTAATAACATTTATTGCTCTGTCATTGCAGGTACCCTCCCCTCTACGTATAAGGAGAATCTGAAATATTCTACAAAAACGTCATAACAAAAGATAAGAACAGAAGTTGCAGTGAACAAATGTATCTTCACAGGAACAATTATATATTTGAAATTGCACATTTAGAGCAATGAGACTTTATTCTCAAGAACCTCAATCTTTTATATTTTCTTGATAATAACTTTCAAAATTTAAATTCTAGAAGTCTGTTATAATCTGAATTACGAAAATTAAATTTTGAAAGCATAATCAATCTACACTTCAAAAAATTAAAATCTAGTACTCAAATTACAATAAATTTTCAAAAATCAAAGTTTGAAAGCTTGTAAATCAAACTTATATACTTTAATTTTCAAAAGTTAAGTGAGCTTTTGGAATTTAAATTACGAAATTTGGTTAACAAGCTTCCGAAATTTATTTTCCAAAATAAGGAACATAGGATAATTCCTGAATTTTTGAAAAATAATTTACAGAAGCATATTGAATAAGTTTCCAAAATTTAATATTCTAGAAGCGTTGATGACAAGAGTCCTTGCTTGTCTGAAATCATTTTTTTCCAATGAAGAGTAATGATAAACTATATGAAATTGGTAAATAACTTATCTTATTTGAAAGATCACAAAAAAAATGTTGGTGAAGAAAATTGAGAATAATTTTTTAAAAAATTAAGTCGTTGTAAAAAGAAGAGAATGAGATAAAAATGAAAGAAAAAGAAGAAGAAGAAAATTGAAAGGACAAAAAGAGAAATACTTTATAATTGTAATAAGGGTATTTTTTTAAGACAAATTTTACAAAAAAAATTAATACAAATAAAAATAATTGGATGCAAAAAGCAATGCTCTTCTGTGTTAAATTTCATTAAGTTACCGCCATACTTTAAAAGGCCCATGATCTTGACATGGGCCGAAGAAGATCTTTGTTTTAAGAAGGCCCAAAAATGGCAATAAGGAACGCCATTACAAGCCCATTTGACACCAGTACGGCATTTGCAAGTAACAAGAAACAAGTCCGAGTAACCACTTCGCGCGAATTGAAGAGATTGGTGAGCAGAGAAAGGAAGATGCAGAAGCAGAATGAAGAAGCTGATGAAAACAAGAAGAGTTCGGTTGTGATAAGAATACCTTCTTATCAAGAAGTGGTTGAAAGTTCGCAGGCGAGATCCACTCCACCTTCTCTCTTCGTTCCCTCCCAAACCTTTTCTGAAGCTTTCGCCTTCGTCAAATCCTCTGAGTTCTACTCTCCCCCCCCTCCGTCTCTCTCAAGGTTTATGCTTCTTCATTCTCTTACTATCTTTGTCTTCTTCCTCGTTTTCATTCTCACCACTTTGCTTTAATTAATTTTGATTAGGGAAACTGGTAAATCGGACGCTCCATCTTCAACGTCGACATCATCTGCTGCTGCTGCTTCTGCTTCTGCTTCTGCTTCGTCAACACTACCGTCCTCTCAAATCACGCAAACTCGCAATGCAATTCTTGTGAGCCACAGACAGGTCCAATCAATATAATTTATATTTTTATCGTGCATAATATTAAGAAATAAACTGATTAAAGTTTTTCTGATATTATTATTGTCTCGAAGTGAAATTTATTTTCTGATTTGCAGAAGGGAAATCCCTTACTCAAACACATTAGGAACGTTAGATGGACATTTGCTGATATTGTTTGTGATTACTTGCTCGGTCAAAGCTCTTGTGCTCTTTATATCAGGTTATTTTGTCTCTGCTTCTTTTTTTTCGTTGTTGTATAAACTTGCTTGTTTTTCTGGTAATTTTAGGGCCGTGCCACACCGGATGTGGTGAAGTTTGTTTATAACGTTCGTTGGTGTCAAGTCGAATAAACGGTGCTTTCTATTGTAAATTTTGTGAGTTAAAATGGGGTTGGGAAAAACATTTGCTCACTTGTTGAAAATTCATATCAAATTGCTAATCAACAGTGGATCTCCTGGAGCATGATCTGTCGGTATTACTGCGGCATGTATGTGCAATAATTACATGTGACTATGTGATCTCTCGTATACCTAGGGACGTGGAACTTTCTGGTTTATTGTCCTGCTTGTTGTCAAGATTCCTTGTCGCCTGTGTGTGGTTACTTAAATATTTGAGAAGTCGTTATTGTTCTGGCAGTTGGGTTTAATAATATTTATGCATCAACTTGACTTAAGTGGATTGTTTGATGCAGTCTTCGATATCATCTGCTGCATCCAGACTACTTATATTATAGAATAAGGGAGTTGCAGAAGAATTTCAAGCTTCGTGTTGTTTTATGCCATGTTGATGTGGTCAGGCTCCCTTTTATATTCTTATTCAAACCTTTATAGCATATGTTTTCCAATGATCTCTTGAAATTTATACTTTAAATGTAGTTGTTCAATTGTAGACGTCAAGTAGGTGCCTTAGTGTTTTTTCTTATTGATTGCAGGAGGATGTAATAAAGCCTCTACTTGAAGTTACAAAAACAGCTTTGCTTCATGACTGTACCCTCCTATGTGGATGGAGGTGCAATTGACTTTCCTTTAACTGCTTGTGAAGTATACTGAAGACTTTTTTCTTCTCTCAGTAGCGTGAGAGTGTTGCTATTATCTACTACACAATAACAAATTTCTTATTGAATTCCAGTTAGATCATATGGATATTGAACCTCCTATTAAGGAGGAGAGTTTGTGCTAGCAATTTGATGAAGAATATTAATGTGTCTAGCTGTTTTGGTTTTCATCTTTTTCTTGTTTTAGCTGACTCTATTACAGCATATACATCCTGAAAGGAAAAAAGCTTATTGTAATTTCTTGTGGAACTTTTGTTTTAGCAGAACTTGTACCATTTAAAGGGGGCTTGGGATTACTCTAGCATGCATATTAATTTCAGTATATGTAGTAGCACCTGACAAGATTCCTCTTACCTGTCTAATTGATTTTATATTGTTTCATTCTGCTGTTGTTATAGCCTGGAGGAATGTGGCCGTTACTTGGAGACCATAAAAGTCTATGAAAACAAGCCTGCAGACATTATTCAAGGCCAAATGGATACAGACTATCTATCACGGGTGTGGTTGTGTTTTTTTTTCCTCCCTACACATTAATTTATTATGGTTTTAGTAATTCCAAAACCAAAATATTAAGGTTGCACTTCATTAGTCTGAACATGTTCATCAAATGTGCTGAACCTATTTACTTTCAAATGTAGCTAACACATTCCCTTACAACAGTTCGGCATGTTAACAAGACTGATGTAGTCACCCTTGGTACCACATTTGGGGTATGTATGTCATTTTTTAGTACACATACAGACACGCATATTGATTGAATTTATTTGTAAAAGCATTTCCATTAAGCTGGATTCTTGTCTTTTTAGTCTCTCTCTCACATTATGGGTGCATCCATGGAAGATCTAGCTCGTTGCCCTGGCATAGGAGAGCGCAAGGTACAATTGAACTGTGTGTGCATGTGTGTGTAAAACTAATAACTGTGTTGTAGTGATTGATGTTATCTGACTCAATTATGATGTCAGAAATTCAAATTCAAACCTTAACATAGAACTTCGCATTTATTTTTTTGCAAAACTGGTTCAATCCTTTAACCTGATACTGGTTCAACCCAGTGCTCAATCTGGTTCGTACTGGTTCAATTGTACATCAAATGCAGTAGCATACATGGTCTTGTTTGCTGACCAGCTCACCAGTTGAGCTGGCTGAGTCAAGAAAAGTTCTATTTACCACTGGTAAAAGTGGGATAGGATGATGATTTGAACTTTTTTTGGTGGCTGTGGTTGCACAATCAGGTGCCATAGTCCACAGTGATATAAACCAAAAGAAGCCTGAATATTTTGTACACTTTCTGACAACAGGTCAAGCGCTTGTTTGACACTTTTCATGAACCCTTCAAGCGCATGGAATCCAGCCGGCAACCAATTCCTGAGGCCTCTTTCCAGAACAAGCCAGCTAGTCCAGATATATCATTCAGGAATGATGCTGAATTTTCCACCTTGATTGAAGACAATCAGAAGGATGTAGATGATTTAAGCAAACGTAGGAAGAAAGAACCTGAATTGACTGTCAAATCTGCCCTTTCTGCAGCTTTTGCCAAATATTCTGACAGAGTTGGAAAGAGGAACAGCACTTCACAAGTGGAGGAGAGTGAAGAATCAGTTGTTGTCAGAGAATCAGAAGCTGAAAAATAAAATTATTATGAAGTTTTCACTGGTTGTTTAATAATATTCGCTCAAGCAAGATACATCTCATGAGACTTATATAGGCTTGATTTATAATCTCATCAACAGAACCCAAAGTACACTTAGGAGTGTGACTAAGAAAACAGCTCTGATAATTGAAGAGGTAGTTAGTTAGTAGCAATAGAACAGCTGGACTGTTCTCAGCTTAACTGAATTGGAAAGAAGGGGTGCCATAGGGTATAACTAGGAATAGGGTGAAGATTGGATTTTGTTTTCAGTTGTTGAGAGAAGTTGGGAGGGAGAGTTATTGCTCCCGAATGCCCTCAGTTGAGGGATATTCTTGTCTTTGTACAATACTTTAGAAAAAATGGTAGAATCTTGCCTTAAGTGGTTTGGGCATGTATGGAAAAGATTGGTAGAAGCTCCAATTAGGAGAGTAGATCAGATGGATGGTAGCCTTATCGCTGGAGATAGAGGGTGATTGAGAAAAATTATCGGGGAAACCATCAAGATGGATTTTAGAGGTCAATGTATTGTCTATGGACATGATTCACAATAGAATACTAGTGTCATTTAATCCATCTAACTAATCTAACTTAGTGAGAAAAAAGGCTTGCTTCTTGTTTCTGTACATTCTGTCTAACCTCATCTTGTTGAATGTGAGATCACATTGATGCATAACTGTTTGGGAGGGGGGCGGGGAGCTTAGTGAATATAAATTTCAATTATTCTCATTACTTGCCTGTTTTCTGAACTAGTATCTATCAAACTCTTACTTTGGTCTAGAGGCAGTCAGGGCTACTTTTTATCGATTGTGGAAATTGTCCCTGTCCCCGCATATATTTTTACGGTATTGTTGTGGTTGTACTGGTTTGGAAGGGTACCAGTGCTGATGTAGACAGATTTCGGCTTGAGATCCTGTAGGTTTCAATTTTACTATTGAATACAATACAATAAGTACATAACGATTACTTAGTATAAGAAATTTGTTAAAACAAAAGTATATGAATTTTAACCACGTTAGGGCCACTTATCATCTATCTCCTGTCATTTTCTGTCCACGATTTGGATGCATTTATCCACGTTATCAGGATGGCACGACAAAAGTAATTTCTGCATGAAACGAAGAAATATCCGACAGATTGTTAAAAAGGACGTTTCATTCCCAAAGATTCTCAATGCGTTACAAATAGTCAAATACTCTACGGGTGATAATTTCTCATAGTTCATAAGTGTGGCTCTTCCCTTGTTGCTCTGGTTGATAATATTAATTTATCTTGATCTTGATTCTGAGGGACGGTTGCAATGATGATTTTGCTGCATCTTTTTTTGTCGTGGAAATATCAGTTGATATGACTTGCAGGGATTCCCCTTGTGCTTGCGTGATTTTTGGGGAATCCCTCGCATTCAGCCAGGGAGTGATATAGTAAGTCCATGATACAGATCAGCATTATTCCATTTTCTCCTTCACTTCTGTAAGTTCGTACTGCTCTTTATAGAAAAAAGTGAATTAGCTTTCAATATAGTTGGCCAATGGCACCTTTTGCTAATGGCTAAAATTGAGCTCTTTGCCGGATTGAAAGAAGCTAGACATAATCGATCTCATGTGAGTGGAAGCGCAATATTCTTCCATTGGCCCAAAGTGATTCGATATATTTGGACGAATGGTAGTTTGCTTTCAGGCGATGAGTTACGGGATTTAAGAATTTGAACGAATGGATATTAAGTTTCATCATATTACAGAAGCAATGTTCTACACATATCAGCGATATAATTTTTAGGAAATTCATATGCGCTTAATTTGTACCATGCGTCTTAGTAACTTTGTCATCACAAAACCAATCTAAAAAGGTGTTAACATTCCATGTAGATATTAAAATGATGAAGAAAAAAATATCTAGAATTGTACGTTTTCATGAGTGAATGCAAAAGATTTTGTCCTTATTGGCCTCAAAGGAAGATTTGAATTGTCTCTCTCCTGCATTTTCTTCCTCTCGTTTTCGCTGTTGGCGGCAGTAGGAGTGACGGAATTCCGGTGACCTAAGTTGCCAACTTGATGACGACCAATGAAGTGTGATATTGTGCATTTTTTTTTTCTCCTTAATGTCTGTGGAAGCACTTTTTCAGTTTAAAAGAAGGAAAACCACTTTATTTCCAGGCGGCTGCTACTCTTTTCAAACAGAATATTGTAGAAACCCAATGCACACTTAGTGACTTGGACTCGGTGTTTTTTGTTTCTGAAATCTCAGGGAACTGGATGAACTAAGAGATGGGTTCCTAACTAGCGGTATCAGTGATTGTACAACATCTGTCATGAATGGTCTGTAGTCAGCTTCTGGTTGTATGCACATTGCTGCAATGGCAGCTATCTGTAAACCCCGTAGTAGCAGAAGGCAAATTGTTATTTGATGGAAAAATATAATTAGTTCAGGACATATAGTATAATGATTCGAGTAGGAGATAATCACTGATTAAAAGAAACCAAGTTCAACCTGAATTAAATCCTTCTTTGAGTACTGTCCACGTAGTGCTGGGTCAACCATTTCCACAACCTTTTCTCTGTTTGTCAACCTTGAAAGAGCCTGGTGAACAACAAGGATCATGTGTAACAAAAGAAAATATGATCAGTCTTACAAGCTCATTTCCCAGAATCCATAATTAGAAATATGGTATTTGTTACAGTTTAGCTTCCTCATTAATATTCCGAAGGAATAACACTCGGCATTCTTTTGTCTTTTGATTTTAAACAAAATCATTTAGAACATTTGCATGGTGCAAGTATTTACTGACCCAAGAGACAAGGACGTGTTCTCCTGGGGGCCGCTTGATATCAACTGGTACTCGTCCTGTTAGCAGTTCGAGAAGAACCACGCCGTAGCTGTAAACATCAGACTTTGTAGTAAGCTTACCCGTGGAGGCGTACCTACATGATGCCCAAATTCAAGGGACAAATTAAACTTATGCTATAAATTAGGAAGCAAATTATAAAAATATTATCATGAATGGCGAGCAATGAGATTTATGCGTCATAATGAAATCACAACGTTTAAAAAATTACAGGCTGCATGATAGGGACGTGAGTTTGACCATGTGCATGGTTCTTTAATAGTAATATTTTTTTAAGATTGCAAGTTATGTAGTGGGAGTGGGTGAAGAGTGAAGATAAGGCAGGGTGGTTTCAAACTCACTCTGGTGCAAGATATCCAGTGGTCCCCAACACACGGGTGGAAACCTGACCGTTCCGTTTCTCTGATCCCATCTTAGCCAATCCAAAATCTGACACCTTGGCACGGAAATTTTGATCCAGTAGAACGTTGTTACTCTTGAAGTCACGGTGGATCACTGGTGACGCTGCATGTTCATGCAGGAATTCCAGTGCCCTCCCACAATCAAGGGCTATCCTCATCCGGGCCCACCAATCCAACGGTTCAGTTTGATTGTTGGGGGAGTGTAGATGATGGTGCAGTGTACCATTGTGCATGTATTCAAATATCAATAACCTGTGGGATTGGTCAGCACAATAGCCAAGTAACTCCACCAAATAAGGACTGTGCAAGCGGCTTAGGAGATCGACCTGCAATAAATGTCATTTAGTCTTCCCACCCATGTGCTGCATTTGAATAAAGCTCACCATATGAGTTGGCAAGCGGCATGGACTCATCCAAAGATAAGGGCTTTGCATTCCAATTTCATGGTCCCAATTTTGATTGCAAAAGGCCAGAAAATTCGTTTTATAAATAGGAAATGTCTTACTCCACGTATTTTAAGGACCTAGTAATAAGAGACTAAATTTTTTTATTCAGTAATAGTGTACAATTCAAATTACTTGATAACTTCAATTATTTAGTTTTATGAAGGATTTTTTTTTTAATATTTAACATTCTCTGACTTTTAAATCAGTATATTCTTGGCCAAAAGATGCTGAAAAATATGAAAATAATTTATATCCCTGTCAAATACCATTCACTACTCGAGTCAAATGCGATGTCATAAAGGCATAAACTAATATAGGAGCCAGAAAGTATAATAAGGTTGTCACGTGATAGGTTGCAAGACTCCTTCCACATTAGCATAAACTATTCATTACGACATAGAAATTTTCTTTGGCAACCAATAGAAGCTTCAGCTTAACAAAAGACAAAAACAATGTCTCTGAACAAACCGGATCTAATGCAAGTAAAGGAGACATAAAGAGAGATAGAGCAAGTAACAACAAGAGGATATATATATCAAACCATTAAATGAAGTACACTCACACACTCACCTCTACTCTGAAGGCACGCTCCCCTTGCTTGCCGTCACTGCACAGCAACTTAATTGCTGCCAAAGTGCCATCACTTAATACTCCTCTATACATCAAACCATACCCTCCATTACCGATCACATTTGCTTCACTGAATCCATCCGTAGCAACTTCTAGCTCCCTGTAAGTGAACACTTGGACTCCTCGAATTTTAGCTACTGGGGTCCTGCTCAAATTCCCCCCATGAAGGCACCCACCTTTCACATCTGCAATTAGTGTCTCCAAGCATTTTATGAATTAGCTTCTGAATTTTTAAGACCAATAATAAGTTTAAGGACACGTTTGAATTAAATTGAAAGAACAACTAATGATATACTAGCGACAAGTTCATGCGATCATCTACACAACAAGCAATTATAATTCACAGCTAGAAATTAGTAACTAGGATAAGTTTGCAAATATAGTAATTACAAGAAACTGTTTGCAATTAGTTGATAACATGTGCCACTAATTACCTGGGCTAGAATTAAAGTTGGACGTTGTTGAAGCAATGAGCCTGCTGCTTGTGTCATGAAGCACTCTGCTGTCTTCTTCACAAGTTCCACTCTTGTTGGAAGATTTTTGCCTACGGATCAAGAATATGACCAGAAAAATCAATAATAGGACAGTAACTAAAGTGACAACTGCAATGGTTAGGAGAATGGTTTTGGAGGTGAAATGGATATGGTTATGTTTATAGATATGTTTTTCTGAATGTAGGTGGTGCTGTGTGTAAGAATGGTTCTTAGTTGGTGGCCCTTGAGGTACAGTGGTTGTAGGATTAACTTCCATGAGTGACAACTGAAAGAACCAAGTGGAAAAAATGAAAATAAATGTGTTTCTGTTTGAGGTGAAAAAGGTTGGGATGGGAAGGTAGAGAAGAAAGAGATGGTGAGGGAGACTCAGTAATGGGTGTTGTTTATAGTAATAAACAAAACAATGGGGATTGCAAGTATTTTCTAGTTCTGAGCCTCCTTTCCTAGGAGGGTAGGTCATGATCCTTTCTTTTTCTCTCTCTCTCGTGAATATTTAATCAAGAGGTTTTGGTGTACTTCATTCGTCTCTTCTTTTGTTATTTTCTAAGGAATTGTCTCTTTCTTTGTATTAGAAAATCTTGGAAGCTTTTGCACCATCTTTCAGTCTTGCTCTCCCTAGCTGTAATAATTCCCTAATTATAGATTATCTACATTCTGCTTTGCTGAAACAAGAATGTGTTTGTAGCGTGCCTTTTTTTCATTCCTCTTTGGAAAAAGAAAACAAAAAGATAATTATGGTTTTGGCTGGCTTATGAGTCACTTTGTATCTGCTATTGCTGCTGAGAGTGGTCAACCACTTCCACCACTAGGGAGAGTGAAGAGGAAGAGTTAGCCATGTAACTGTGCCATCTAGCAAATTGTCATTTCCACATGTCATTGCCAATAAATAATAATACTACAATCGCCACCTGCAAAAACTCAAAATTGCTTAAACTTGTGCATGCTTTCTTATCTAATAAATCATTTTCTGTTATGTATCATTCTATATGGTTTATTTATTATTCATTTGGATCTAAAGAATAGCCAAAGGAAGGGACAAAAAATTTCAGCATATTTTAATTGGATTGCCCCGATATTAAAATCTCCTAAGAAAATTAGAACATGTAAGACACAATTCAATAGTTATAATATGACTGAATCTGAACCAAGAAATAAAAAAAAATTGCCATTTATGTTAAATGGATATTAGAGGACCTAGTTTTATACATAGCATATTCTTCTTATAATGATAATTTTAAGTATTTAAATATAATTACCATTATATATTAATTTTTGTCTTTAAGCCTGAGAGTCATAATTTAGCTGCGTGAAAGCAAGGAATTAATTCCTTACTGTTACTGGCAGTACGAACAAGAAGTCACAGCTCCCTGACTGTCACGGAAGATTGCCAATCATATGGCTCGAAATCACATGCCTTTCTGTCGTCCAAAAAGTTAAGTCTCCAAAAGACCACATCAAGAAACATTCTCTTTCAAGGTTAAAAGCGTTGTTAATGTTTTTATTACAATTCGTTGCTACAACCTGGGCCTCAGGATTATTTACTATATCAAACAAGAAATTCATAAAAAAAAAGACTTCCCAATAACATTTGCTACAAACCCAAGTATCCAATTGGTTCTTTCTCACCTACCACTGTACTTTCCATAACTAATCACTGCTCTTCCCTCGTTTTCTTTTCATTAATCTCAATATTACCCTTCGCTTTGCAATAGTAGTATTCATCAAGATCACATTTTGTAGGCGTAAAACTAAAATTATCAAGGGAATTGAATATTTGAGGGGTAATACATAGCGTTCCTCTCATGGTACGTAAGTGGAACACTTGGAAAAGCTACTCTCGCTTGGGTATATTTGATGCTTTGTCTAGAAGTGGGGAGGGTAAAACTTTCAGTCCTGGTTGGCTATATGGTTTTAGAAACTTGGTCCTATTGGGTAATCCGGCAATTTTTCAACGAAAAGATAAAAGATTTTATATTAAGGTTATATATGATAAAATCAACTAAAAATTGACAATTTATAATTTTTAGTTGTGAAGCTAATTAAAATCTGTAGATTTGTAATTGAAAGTTTATAGTTGTAATTTATAGAATTAAAATTATTTGACATTGTATAATTAGTTTATTTGTGTTAAATGACTTAAATGGACATGTAATATTATATTAATATAATATTAAAATTAATTATCACTTATTTTATTTATTTATGATTAATTAATTATAAAAATATAAAAATAATATATATATATATATATATATTTGAATATGAAATATGCTAAGTCATATTTTTTAATATAAAATATATCAGGATAAAAGAGACAAGGGAACAGATAAAAAAAATAGAAAAAAAAAATGAACTGAACTATTTAAAGGTGAAAAGAACATGAGACAATAAAATTATTGTATGTATGTGAGATTTTAATTATAAAATAAAATTTATTTTTCTAAAAATGAATGGTAAAAAAGTAATAAAAATATTGGTAGTTAATCTTTTAAAATCAAATACTACTTTAGATAACTTTGTTAGCTTTTAAAAGATATAAGTTCTTTTTATTTTATATGTACCAAACAATTCTACAAACTTATTAATCAAGTCAATAAGGTACAAATTTCTAAATAAATTACAAACAACCTTTATCAAAGATAGCATAAGAGAAAAGCTCCAATATACTCTAATTTTCTTTTAAGTGTATATAAGTCAAATTAATTTTAAATGGTTTGCAAACTTAATCAATTTTAATTCTAAAATAGATATACCCTTGTGCAATTTTTTTTTTTTAAAAAAAAAGCCTTATCCTTCGATTGTACCATGATCAGGTCAATACCAAGGGGGCTTTTCTTTTTTAAAATATTCTCTCTCGATCTCTATTTTATTCTTAACTTATCTGTAGTCTAGTATGTGGCCAAGTTTGGGTGTTCAAGTTAACAGGAATTTTAGTGGTGAAAATGTATTCTTCAAAAACCTAATATTGTAAGACTTTGGCCACACTTAACGTCTACGTTTTTGGTCAACTTTTTGACAACCAGGCTGACGTGTGGTGTAGGCAATTGTTACTCCAAGTCTTGTTCATAGAAGAAGCCCATCTCGATGGATCCGTGATCGCTCTGGCCCAGTTTGGACAACCACTACGACCCATTTTTCTTTGGTCGTTTGGTAGGTCCCTTTTAATCCCAGTAGCAGCACTTTTAGGAATAGGAACTCTCATGAATAATTCAACAAGAATTTCCCTTTTATTTGGGGGAGACAGGTAAGGGAACGAAAATAAAATAATGAATAATTTCTATATACGTTCTATAAATAGTGGGAATTATTTAGTTTTGTTCAACTCTTTACTTGCAAATATTTTATTCCCTCGTTGTAATCATTATATATTCCAACCTTTTTCTGGAGACTGTGGTAACAGAAAACCTGATTATTTTCTCACATGTACTTGATAGTAAAACCTTCCTAAATTCATCGCTTTCAACATGGCAGTTAGTGACAACAGTTGCCATTTATTTTCTTATTTGCCTTGTTACATTGAATCAATGGTTTCCTTACCCAATTATTTGTTTTAAAGGAAAAGGACATCAAAGATCATTGGCATGACAACTAACACTTCCCATTATGATAGAGTACATATAGGACACTAAGACAAATGCAAAGTGCAGGCCTGAGCTTGATTGATGACAATAGAAGTAAATAATCATCCCATTTGGCCTATAATAAATAGTTAGTGATAAGAATAAGAAAGTTAGGTAAAATGTAAGTATTTAATAGTTAAAGCAAATGAAACTTTTTGAAATATCTTAACATTTGCTTATTCATTGTAGCAACCACTAAGCAACATCAAGAGTTTTGGAGTCTCTAAAACTACATAAAAAAATTTAATTGCAGTCGCATTTGTCTACACTTTTTTGCAATGTCAAGGTTTTTTGGACTGCATAAAACCTTGATCATGGTCTCTCATTAAGTTTGGTTGAAATTGAATTTTCTTTAAATTTAATTCAAATGTCAAGCTAAATTCTGGGGATGTACAAATGCACTAGACTCTCCGTAGCCAAGTGGGTACATGAGTCTAAATAAATAAGAAACGGGGATCCCCCAATAACACAATAGAAGACCAATGTGATGAAAGTATTAGAATAGATTTCAATGGATCTCAAGAATTGTTGTGCTTATTTTGGGACAAGTTTGACAAAATGTTTTCTTGTTTTCCTGTAGTATTCTATTGATAGAAGCAAATCTTACCAGGGATAATCTTAGTAACTAGCTGTTAAAATTGTGTGTAGTTACACTGAGTGGATGATATTAACAATTTGACTTAGACTCGGCATTATAGTACTGGTTCAGTTAATTTTGTATTTAGAAGCATAATTTACCTTGTGTTCAGAAATTTTGAATAGTGCACTTCATCAGGATGCTAGCAATTAAATGAAGTTTGAATGACAACCCACGAGTGGGGAACAAATTAGTCTTCTTTTTCCTTTTCCTTTTCTCTCTTTTTCTTCTCCTTTGTTGGCTGATGCTTTCATGTTTTGGCTTGTTATTCATTACAGACAGGCACTCCTTATTTATTTACCGCTTCCAACCCCTTTGGCAAAGTATCAATTCAGTTGTTGATTTTAGTATAATAATATGTTTCATTTTATTTCCCCTTTTATCTATCTGATACATTTTGATTTCCTCTCAATTGCTATAATCCAATAAGTCTATGACAACAATGTGGGATTTTTACTATGTGAGAACGTCTGGTTTTGGTGATGGTGATGGTATTGGTAAGTGAGAAGGGGGAATGAATGCGATAGTGATGTTTTAACATGTCTGCAGATACTAATGTTTCTGAGTCATTTTATTACTCTTCACCAATCTCTGAGAATGACATTGATGCAGTTTAAAGGTATTTTAAACAATGAGTGTCTGCATGTAATGTTTCTTTACACTTCAGTTGAGGATAGGGATGAGGATTATTATGTTATCGTCTGTTGATTTCTGATTATTGTAGTTTGGCAATTGAACACCAGCTAGTTGAATGTGAACTACCTTGTAGATAAATGCTAAGAGAGGTAAGATTCTTATGGATGATGTAATGAATTAGGCCCCGAGACTACGTTGGGCTTTGTTATTGATATGTTATTTAACAATGTTATTGAAATGTCAAATTATTTGACACCTGAAGTTATCCCCGAATCTCGGTTGGAACGACCATCAGATATGTTTCAGTAAGAAAGATTAAATTACAATAATCTCCCTTGAGGTAAAGCAAAATAAGAATAAATC